AAAAAGAGTGAAAAAATAAATTCTGTTGAAAAATGTTTTCTCTGATATTTGCAAGAACTCCCATGTTTGTTGTGTAATAATCTCAAAGGAGAAACTGTTCCAAGAAAAGATTCAGACCAGTTTAGTTCCACTTTTCCAGTAAAATGCTGCTGTTTTATTGTTGCACTTAAGCCTATAAATGTCTATAAATTCAGAGTTAGCTTTTGTTTCTAATTCAAATACAATTTCATTCTGGTTGTATTCTAATTTTATACTGATTCTGCTTTTCAAATTACAATTTTATTGAAATTTTGATTTTCACGTAGATTTTTAATCTGATTTTGAGTTTTATGGTATTTCTCATCCAGAATTTTTAAATAATTTTCATGGCATTTTAATTCTTTTTTTTTTTCTGAAAACATAAACTACTTGATGGTAGAAGCGTGTGTGTGTGTGTGTGTGGGGGGGGGGGGGGGGGGGGTTACTCACATTACAATTGTCACTAACTGGTGAGAATGAAAGAAATGGTACACCTCATTTAAGTCAAAAGAGGAATTCTGTTGAAAAGGTGCTGTAATATCACATTTTTCTTTAAACAGATTAGATTTGTTTCCCCCAGGAGCATTTCTTGTTGAGTTTGTTCCTTTCCACCTAAATGAATACCTCGGTCCAAGCTGCAGATAGAGGCTTTCTGTGGTGGTGATATCTCACCACTATGCTAATAACGTGGTATGATCTCATTTTTACCGCACCCTATTTTAGTTTTACACAAAGTCTGCAAATTAAAATTGAGGGAAATTAAAATAATATTTTAGATATTTGCAGTGCTGACCTAAACACAATTCACCAACATTAAGAGTCTGCAGGAGAACAAAAGTCCATAAAACAAAACTGCAATTAGGTCATAAAGCTGGTGGCTTTCAAGCAGACCACAGAATACCTCTCACAAATCTTGTCTGCTTGCCCCTTACCAATCTGGGTTCAAAAAGGGCCACTCCACTGAAACTGCTCTGTTAGCAGAGACGGAATCCTTAAAAGAAGCTAGAGCAACTGCCAAATCCTCAGTACTTTTCCTGCTTGACTTATCGGTTGCATTTGACACTGTCAACCATGGCTTCCTTTTGTCCACACTATGGGCATCACAGAGAAAGCACACGCCTGGTTTGAATCGTACCTCACAGGACCATCATTCAGTGTATCTTGGCTTGGACAATCCTCTACCGTGCACTATCTTGCCACAGGAGTCCTCCAGGGCTCTTTACTAGGACCTCTTCTCTTTGCCATATACACCACCTCACTGGGTGAGATCACTCGATCACATGGCTTATCCTACCACTGCTATGCAGATGACACCCAGCTCCATCTGTCATTTCCACCGGACCACCACACTGTCTCTGCACGAATATCAAAATGTCTCTCTGACATATCAACTCAACCTCTCTAAAACTGAACTGCTTGTCATCCCAGCAAAACCATCCATACAGCACAATATCTCATTCCAAAATTACATCCTATCTCTGGCTCCTTCAAAGGCAGTTCGAAATCTGGGTGTTGTGATTGATGAACACCTGACCTTTAAAGATCATGTTGCCTCTGTTGCTCGTTCATGCCACTTTGCGCTGTATAACATACGAAAGATCAGACCATACCTAACACAGCATGTCACCCAGCTCGTGGTGCAATCTACTGTCATCTCCCGCCTCGATTACTGCAATGCCCTTCTAACTGGTCTTCCAGCCTGTACTGTGAGACCTCTTCAAATGGTCCAGAACGCAGCGGCACGTCTGGTCTTCAATCAGCCAAAAAGAGCACACGTCACCCCTCTGTTCATTGAGCTCCGCTGGCTACCGCTAGCAGCACGCATCAATTTCAAATTGCTAACACTAGCATGCAAAGTCCGAGATGGTACTGCTCCCATCTACCTGAATCCTCTTGCAAAGGTTTACGTCTCGGCCCAGCCGCTCCAGTCATCACAGGATCGTCGGCTAGCAGTGCCTACACCACGCTCAGGACAATCCAGACTCTTCTCATGCATCGTTCTACAAATGTGGAATGACCTTCCAAGCACTACCAGAACAGGGGTTTCCTTTTCAATTTTCAAGAAACTCCTGAAGACCCTGCTCTTCAGAGAGCATCTTCTTAACTAGGACCCTCCCTGCACTCGTCCCCCCTCTTTACTGTCCACTCCTTGTTCCCTACTCTCCATGATTCATCATGCTGCCTCACTGCCACCTACGACTGACTGGAAATAGTTTGTTGTTGTTGTTGTTGTTGTTAGCCTCAAGGGCAACATGCTGATTATCACTTGTAAGTTCCTTTGGACAAAAGCATCTGCTAAATACATAAACATAAACATAAAGCTGCACAATGGCTCTTCACTTTGAATAGATGTAAATGCTGGTCTGTTGTGTTTCACCCACTAACACAACTACAGTGTGCTGCACAAACACAAGATTTACAGCTGTCAAACAAACAGGATGCAAATCAGTGCTGCTGCTCTGCTCTGTTATATATTAAGCTTTAACCATTAACAAACAGATGGAGCACAGACGTCATTGCATTCCAGAGAAACAAACTCTTTGTGTATTTAGAAAACATTAAATGCTACATCGGCCACTCCGGTCATGAAAGGATCGCCGGCTAGCAGTGCCTACACCACGCTCAGGACAATCCAGACTCTTCTCATGCATCGTTCCACAAATGTGGAATGACGTTCCAAGCACTACCAGAACAGGGGCTTCCTTTTCAATTTTCAAGAAACTCCTGAAGACCCTGCTCTTCAGAGAGCATCTTCTTAACTAGCACCCTCCCTGCACCCGTCCCCCTCTCTACTGTCCACTCCTCTTATCTCTCTGAGCGCTCCTTTTCTGTGGCCGTCTCCAAGTTTAGGTCCTCCACCGCCTCTCTTACCCATGGTGTCCCACATGGTTCTGTGCTGGGGCCTCTACTCTTCCTTCTCTATCTGCTTCCTCTTCAGCACATCCTGAGCTCCTTCAAAGGAATCTCCTACCATCTTTATGCAGATGACATCCAACTGTACATCTCCTTTAAGCCCCATGAGATGTCTAAGCTGCAGCTGTTACTCACCTGCTTAGACTCTATCAAAACCTGGATGGGTGGGAGCTTTCTTCAGCTGAATGAAGATAAGACTGAGATCCTCATCTGTGCCCCAGACAAGCTGGTTCCCAAAGTTAGAGACTCTCTTGGTCAGCTTGCTTCCCACACCAAGCCTTCTGTCAGGAATCTTGGTGTGACCTTTGACCCAGCTCTCACCCTGGATTCTCATGTCAGCTCTCTTGTTCGCTCTTCCTTCTTCCATCTCAGGAACATTGCTAAGCTGAGTCCCATTCTGTCTCGCTCTGAACTTGAGACAGTTATCCACACCTTCATCTCCTCACGCTTAGACTACTGTAACTCTCTTTTCACGTGTCTGAGCAGAACCTCCCTGAACCGTCTACAGGTGGTTCAGAATGCCTGTGCTCGGCTTCTGACCAAGTCCTCCAAACACACCCACATCACCCCGCTTCTCCTCCAGCTTCACTGGCTGCCGGTCAATGTCGGGGTTCATTTCAAGATCCTGGTTCTGGTCTATAGGGCCTTACATGGACAAGCACCATCTTACATTGGTGATCTTCTTAGTCCCTACACCCCCAGCAGGTCCCTGAGGTCCAGTGACCAAAGCCTACTGGTTGTGCAGCACCAGGCTAAAGACCAAAGGTGACAGATCATTTGCTGCTGTGGCCCCCAGACTCTGGAACTCTCTCCTCCTGAGCCTGAGGTCAGTGGACTCAGTGGTCTCCTTCAAAAAGCAGCTGAAGTCTCACTTGTTCAAGCTGGCTTTTGTATGACCTTCATCACTCTCTCTTTATTCTGCTCTCCCCACCTATTCCACCTTCCTCAGGATCCACTGGTTCCCTCTTTCCTATTCACTCTCTCTCTTTCTTAACATTTTTTCTTTTAAATCCCAATTGCCTATTTTTGCTCATTTTAAATATATTTTTAAACATTTTCTAAATGCTTTTTTATATTTTTACATTTTTTTGTTTTTGTGAAGCGCCTCGTGATTTTTATCTTGAGAGGCGCTATAGAAATGATATTTTCTTCTTCTTTTCTTCTTCTTCTCCTTTGTTCCCTCCTCTCCATGATTGATGTGAAGTTGCTGTTGTTGTTATTGTTGTTGTTAGCCTCAAGGGCAACATGCCGATTATCACTTGTAAGTCGCTTAGGACAAAAGAGTCTGCTAAATACATAAACATAAACATAAATCAGTTTGGGTATACGTCTAAAAACTATTCAGTGTCTCTGATCAAAATACGGGTCTTTGTGTCAGTAATTCAACTGAGAGACCATCTAAAGGTTCAGGAAACCTTTGCAGGTCTTCTGGATGAATTAGCTGATTAGAGTGTGACACTTTGAGTCTAGAACAGGGGTGTCAAACTCATTTTAGCTCAGGGGCCACATCGAGGGAAATCTAGTCCCAAGTGGGCCGGACCGGTAAAAAAAAAATAAAAACTTAAGATTGTTTCCTTTGTTTTAATACAATCAATATAAAACAAGGCTGGAGCCTGAGGACAGTGTATCCAAAATAGTACAAGTACAACACCTGAAGTGTACTTGAAAATTTGGGAAAAAAAAATCAATAAATTAAAAAAACATTCCTTAGTGATTCAAAGAGTTTACAGATCACATGGCTAGATCAGTTTCATGCAGCACTTAAAGTATATTTGACTCATTTGATTTTACATCTTTTAGCTTTCACCAGCACATCAACATCAGAAGTCACATCCTGAGTGGCGGCCAACTTCAGGATGTGATTCAAGTTCTTGTGTGAGCCTTGAGCGCAGCTTTGTTTTATTTATACTCATTACAGAGAAAACTTGCTCACAAAGATGAGTTTATTTTCACTCTACATTGTAAAGTATGAAAATAAAGTTTACACAACCATCTCACGGGCCGGATTTAACCTGCTTGCGGGCCGGATCCGGCCCGCGGGCCGCATATTTGACACCCCTGGTCTAGAACATTGAACCTATTCACAAAATTTTAAATGTCTGAGATTTTGAGTTTGGGTATTTCATTTTATTAGATGTAAGCCACAATCATCCTAAATATAACAAATAAAGACTTTAGTTTCACCTTTTACCTTGAATTACTGAATGAACTTTCATACAACAATCTAATTTTTTGAGTTTCACCTGTAGTTTTATTCTCTGCACCTGTGAGCTAGATGTGTCACTGACAGGCCTGATAACTGAGAGGACAAGCACACCTCAGAGAGTCACCACACCTGAATGTGGTATGAAACACCTAACAAGGCCGCTGTTATATGATACAACACGATACACAAAACAGTTTATTATTCAGACCCAAGTCTTTCCTGATTCTACAGTTTATGCATTCATATTGGTGAAAAGACTGGTAAATTTAATAGCATTGGTTTGACTTGATTACATCAGTTCCCAGTCATGGAATATCATTGATTTGTTTTCCCGTTTTTTTTTTACTGTTCCTCTTTCCACTCTAAACTCATTATCCTGCCTGACTCTCTGGTGGAAACACTTTAACACACACCTTTGATTCCACTATGTTTGGTGAACAGCTAACTCCCCTATCAACTTTATTTGCACTCTAGTTGTAGGGAAGCCCCCATAATTCGGGTCTGAAATTGAAGCCAATACGGAAGTAACAAAAATTGCAGTTCCACCCTCATCCGCTGGGGGCTGGTGTCAGAAGCGAGCAAATCCTCATTGACTCCCATGTTAAAAATACCAATTTCACAGCAGAAATAAACATGTTTACAGCCTGGTACCAAAACATGTTTTAGGTTTAATAGATCTAGTTTACACTCATGACAACTCTGAGGGTGTGGGAATTTTTTGTCACTCTTCTGTTTAGGTGTATTAAATGACTAAAATTCTGAATAATTCATGAGTTTCAGGCCCACGTGACCACAGAGCTAGCTCTGGGGAAAGGCCTCAGCCTGAGCCTCGGCCTCGCCTGAAAACTGTTCCGCGATTTTCAGTCTCTCAACTTAGACCATTAGTTGTAGCGTTTGTGTGTTCTTTTTTGGATAATATTTGTGCAATTGTTGGACTAAATGACTTGCTGTGGTATTAATTGCACTAATAGAGCATCCAAGGAGTCTCCACTTCATTTTTTTCAGTAAGTAAAATTATATTTATGTATTTTAGGTCACTGCCGCTCTTGCACTAGCTGTGCTTAGATTTTCACATGTACTGTTTAACCATGAAATTTAAATTTAATAGGGTAAAACCCAGTGCATTTAGCATAATGCTGCATTTTTGAAAATGGGTTGAAATATAACATGTTGGTGGAGCTGGGTTCCAACTATCGGTGTGGACTTATAGCGGCAGCTCAACGCATCTCTGATCGCAGCGGCTCCTGTCTGCTGCACGGCTGCCGGCTTGTGGAACTCTCGGGAGACCTCTGTGTTCTGCCCGGTTTTACCCAGCGGTCAGCCCGGCGCATCTGTGACCCAGAAGCTCTGGTGTCATGCACAGTTAGCTCCGGTTGTAGCTAGGTAGCTACCTCTGTTAGCTTAGCTCCCACCTCCGCGTTAGCTTTGGGTTAGCTTGTAGCTACATCGTTTTAGTTCAATGGGTGTCGTCATTTGATCCCATCCTTACAGTCCCACCCTCAGCTCCACCTCTTTTCCCTTTTGTGGAATTGTCTGGGCTTGGCAGAACCTGTGACACTGTCAAAATGGTGGTGGTGGCCACCTCCCATTTTGGCTTAAAAACGTATTATTGGAGTCTATGGAAACACATTGTCCAGTATATAGGTCGATGGTTGTAGTTCGTTACTCAGTCGGGATCCTAATCGCAAGGTTTTTGGGAGAGTAGTGAGGAAGCTTCCATAGAGACAAAACCACTGCTGCTCCTCATGTTTAAAATACCAGACTCCTTTTTTATTCTCTGTGTGCAGCAATTAAGACATCCAAGAGGTTTTGCATCATATAGAATTTATTAAGTTAAAAGGATTCAAAACCAGTTGGTAGAGCAGTCTTAAAAGGAAAATGTGGAAAAAATGTGAAAATTATAAGAATTTAACTTATTTCATGTTAAAAATGTTTAAAATATTGGTGGAATTTTGGAATAATCTTATGAGTCAGCTTGTGCAATCTGTTAATGCATTCTGCTCAGTGTTTGTAAAATTTCAAGCGAGAGTCATTTGTTGTTTGCTAATACTGATTAGCTGTAGCAGATATTGTAAATGGGGGTAATTACCGAAGTTGACAGTTGAAAATATAAATTCAAATCTCTCCACTGGTTTGTGGGATCTTTAGGTGTTTTGATATTTGACACCAAATTTGAGCTCAGTAGCAAACGGATTTATGAACATTTGTGAAAATTTCAATCAAATTAAGAACCTGGAAATTTGAAAAGATTAATGAGCAAAAATCCTGATATAATTAGTAAAATGCATTCAAGAAATTGTCAAATTACCTTATATAACAGTTTTTAGATTCAAAAACTAAAATTCTTAAACAAGATTTTTCTTTCATCCTGGTGCTGAATCTATAAATTGCAACCAAAAACTTCTATTAATTGATAATTAGTTCCACCATGATTATGAAATAGTGGTTCTAAAAACGAAAATTAGTTCATTTGATACTCCAAATATGTGTCAACAAAGCAGAGCTGTGTTTATCCAACAGATTAGTGAATCAAACATCAAACAGTGAAATGTCCCATGTATGATCTCACTTTTCAAACGTCTGCACTCCCCCTCTCTTACCATCCTCCCTCACTTTTCTCTCTGTCTGTGTTCTTAATCCAAGCCAACAAACCCAACAAACTTCCTCTCCATCGTAGTTCCACAGAAACACACAGAAACACGGATCAAAGCCTGTCTTATTCAAAGCATGTAACCATCTCTCACATGTTTGTTTATGTTGGATAAATGCTCATAATTAGTCTGTCGAGTGATGGACGATTAGAGCTCCTTGTTTACATCTGAGCGCTGGAGTAAACAGATTCTTCATCTAAAATGCTAATGCTGCAGAATGTTGAAATGATGTCGGTGGTCATGTAGTGAGGTTGTCGTGACAAATCCCTGCAGCAAAGGTGTAGATAAACACATTGTGCTCACACACTTTATCATTATTGACCTCCAGATTTTCTCCTAGTAGTCATTTTTCATCCTTTCATGTTGAAGAGAACAGAAAATTCATTTGATCACTTTAAAAAAACTATAGCTTTAATACAAATTGCACTTATTCTTCGATGACAATGCTTCCATACAACAAAGGAAATTCAATTCAATTCAACTCAAGTTTATTTCTATAGCACCAAACCACGACAAGAGTCGTCTCAAGGCACTTCACATAGTAAACATTCCAATACAGGTCAGGGACCTCATTTATCAAGCTTGCTTACGCACAAAACGGGGTCGGAAAACTGCGTAAGCAACTTTCCACGCAAATTTTGGGATTTATGAAAGAAAACTTAGCAGAAAAATGTGCGCAACTTTAAGTTGACTAAGGACCTGGCTCACGCACATTTTGGACATGGAGAACACCTGCAGTGCTGCTGCTGAGAAGGATAAGGGGGTCAGGGGGACAGATTGAGACGGAACGTCATGCATCCTTGACAGTGTGTGTGTCCTGTCACTGTGACTTGATTGATCATGCACCCTGGCTACTTGTACAGGGGAGATCTCCATTTGGCTGACTGGTTAGCACGTGTGACTTTCACCCTGGAGTCTGGGGATCGAATCCTGAATGGACCATCTTTTTTAAATCCGCCACAGATCTCTCTGAAGAATTCACAACATTGGCGGCTTCAGCAACTCTGTGCCACTTCGTGGATTTTCTCTTATTTGTTTTGCAAAAGCGCTTCCTTTCATTTCTCCACCTCACTCACACGTACCTGAATTTCTGCTCATGAAATTCCCTTGATCTGCCTTGATCTACGGTTGCCATCGTCATTGGCGGAGCGCTGCAACAAGCCGGCTTATGTATATGCATGAGATCCGCAAGGCACTTTGCATTGACTATTTATGGCAGTAAGTGGGCATGGTGAGGGCGGGATGTGACTAAAATGCAGCTGAGAAACATTCTCCTTAGTCTCCGATTTATGAAGCAGAGATTGTGTGCAGCTGTGCGTACTCCATGTTTGATAGATTGCAAACCTGCTTGGCCTAAGTACTTTTTTTTCTGAGCTTAAGTACGGTTTTAGTAAGGATTCTACGCAATGTTTGAAAAATGAGACCCCAGTTCATTAAGCCAATCAGAAAAAAGTTTCCTATATAAGGAACCCAGCAAACTGCATCAAGTCACTGACTGGTGTGTGACTTTACAGCAATCCTCAAACTAGCGACAGTGGAGAGGAAAACTCACTTTAACAGGAATAAACCTCCAGAGGATCCTGGCTCAGTATAAGCAGCCATCCACCACGATTCACTGGGGATCGAGAAGACAGAGCAGACACACGCATACACCAACACCAGCCCACCCACACACAAACACACATCACACACACATGTACCAAGTAGTGTTTCTATGGTTACATTGTGACTTCTTAGTAAATATTCTATTTGGTGAGAGATAAACTTTATTGTATTTATCCTAGTGAATCTATAATTAGACGGGTAAACTAGTAGTAGCACATTCAGTGTCAAAGAAAGTAAAATGTTATTATCAGGAGAGGGAGAATGTTTAAGTGGTTAGTAGCAGTGTTCAAGCTGATGGCCCCCTCCATGAGGCCACCACAGCTCAGCAGAACATCACTGTAGCTTCTTCTGGGGAGAAAAACATTTAGACAGAAAATAAAGTTAACAGCTGAAATAGCAGGAAATAATGCAGTTAAATGTCATTCTGTAGTAATAGGAATGAGAAACAAATTAAATAGAATGAGTATTAATAAATTGTCTTAATGTTATGGTTCCAACTAGTAAATTATTCCTCCTCTTTGTCCCGTCTTGGATGTGAAGTACCCCAGGGCTTGATTTTAAGTCCAATTTCTTTATTTATTTATTTATTTTTTCATTAAACATGCTG